TGTGTGTGTGTGTGAGAGAGAGAGCTTACCTGGTGCCGTTCTTTTTCAGGAAGGAGTTCTTGGTGTTGAGCGTTCTGCTGTTGAGCTCCAGAGCTGTGAATCCCCCGTTGTCCAGAGTCACCGACTCCTCGGCTGTGGACACGTGCTTCCCTGGAGGAAAAAAGAGGAGGCATCAGACAGATAAATACCAAAAGACACTTTCAGGGACGGCAGCTGAAAAATGTCCCAGGAGTTGTTCCTCTTGCTGTTCATGTGCTATCTCTTGTTTTATTCATCGTGTATCCCGCTGCCTCTCGGGCTCGAGAATAAGAGGCAAATTAAATTATTTGGGTCCCAGGCCACAAAGAAAAGCTTCATCATTGATGCACCAATAACTACGAACATATAACCTGCTCTCTCGTCTCCTGCAGCACCTCCCTCACTCTGTTTGATCCACTTTCTAAGATGTTGCTGTGGCATTAACGTGAACATCTGTCCTGATGTAACCTGCTCATCAGGGCTGACTTTGTGTAACGGATTTTCAAAGTGACTGCAGCTGAGAACGTGACAGGAAGCCCGAGAGGAGACGATGTAAACAGGAAGAAAAGCATCAACGCGAAGAGCCGGAGCTTCGGATGAGCGGCCGGGAAACGCATCACATAAGCTGATGGTGTTTTGTTATAATGAGGAGGGAGTTCTTCCTTCAACTCAGGCTGGTGAGCATTTGTCCTTCGGAGGCATCGTGGAGTAAGACTGATTCCTCCAGCTCCAGGCTGCTGAGCTGTCGGACTCTGTGGAGGTGATGTGAGCTCAAACACAACAGGGCGGTCCAGGTTAGATTCTGAGTCACAGGGAGACAACGCGTTTTTCCCGTGGATCTCAGAGTGGAGCAGTGAACAGAGCTTCAGTTGAATTTCATGAGGACAAAACTATTTTCGTAAATTGTGACATGATATAAACCATCTATCACTGAATTTGTTAATTTGGGAGCTTTTTACGTCTATTTAATCACAAAATGAGGTGTTTAATGGATTACTGATTTATTTTCCTATTTCAGGCTCAACGTTAAACTAAACTTTAAATAATTGTAAAAGTCTAAATCTCAAATAAAGGTTTATCAGTTCAATTCCATTCAATCCATCCGTCCATCCAAAGTGCATTTGTTTGTTAGTCAGCAGGATTACCCATAAACTTCAAAACGAATCACCATGGAAACTGTTGGAGGGATTCAGTAGGGATCAGGCAAAATCCTACTGGTGTAGATCCGGATCAAAGCACAGATCAAAGAACATGTTTCACGTTTTTCAACATTTTCTTTGATTTCTCAGAGTAATTCATGGATCTCGATGAAAAAACTCTGACGTATTTAGGAGACTGATATTTATGAGTGTGTGCAAACTGGAGCAGATCCAAATCCAAATCTAGTTATATGTGGTGTCATAAGGCGAATGTTGGGCCCTGACGATCGCTGCGTGTTATTCTAGTTCGTTAGAGCTGAGACGAGAGCGACGGTCTCGTAAACTGTAACATAAATTCACAGAACTGTCATGACTCAGGCTGGTTAAGAGACTTGACTCATGGCAAATCTAGAGCTCAGCGGCAAAAAGACTCTGACACTGATCTGAGCTCTGTTTTTATTGAAGAGATATTTTCTTTTGCTGCGAGATGTGAGACCTTGGAAGTCGAGTGAGTGTGTGTGTGTGTGTTTGTGTTTGTGTGGAGGGTGGGGATTCCACTTTATTCTCTGCTGGGGGATAATGCTAACTAGCAGCTGTCTGCAGATGTTAACACAAAAAGAGTGCAGAGGATAAAGTGAGCAGACTTTCAGAGGACGTCTCTACTGAAGCATCTGCTACTTATCTGCATATTTTTCATTATAACTTCGCCCTCAAGGAAGCTCTTTTAAGAAAGTCGTAGTATTATTAGTAGTAGTAGCATAAGTCAGCTGGTCCACAGTTTTATGACAATTTCACAATTCAGCCTCTAATGTGCTCAGAACTGTAAACAACGACGCCACAGACCTGTGCCACAGGCCTTGTACTTGGTGCTGTGTCCGTGCAGCAGCAGCGTGAACACCAAGACCAGAATGAGGATGAGTCCCACCAGAGCCATTACCAGCAGGAACCACCACTCTTCATAGAACGGACGCTCCGACAGAGCTGCGGGGCAGAGAGAGGGAGACAGTTCAGGCCAATGTCAACTTTTCTTTTTCTGTGGTTCATGTTGATGCTGCAGTTTGTCCCACAGGAGCAGAAATACTCCTCACAGTGTGTAAAATATACTTTTAGAGGACCGACTCTTTCACTGAGGCACTGAACTGTTCACAGAGTCGAAACCAACAATCCTGTAAGGTGATTTCATTTCTCTTCCTGCTGCTTAGGTTACCGGGTAAGAAACAGTCCGATATAAGAATGTTGGGACAGAAGACTCTAAATAGATTTAATGATGAATCGTGAGTCATGCTGCAGCTTCAAATCACAATGGAGAGGCGCTTTCAGCTCGATTGTAGTTGTTTGACTTTGCCTGTAGATGGCAACGTACCCAAAGGCAAACAACCACAATCCTACTAACTTCCTGCAACGAGTCCAGTAGAATAAACAATCAGACGAGTCGGATCACCCTGTTCATTAACCCGACTCCAGTGTGTGTGTGTGTGTGTGTGTGTGTGTGTGTGTGTTTACCAGCGAGAGCAGCAGAGGGTGTACTCGGCTGGCCGTAACCATAGCGATTAACAGCGATGACTCTGAACTCGTAGCTGATCCCCGACCTCAGGCGCTCCATCTGTACCGACACAGTCCTGCTGCTGGGAGGGAGGGGTCTGATGAAGGAGTCCCACACCCCCTCATCTGCGGAGAGAGAGAGAGGGGGAGAGAGAGAGAGAGAGGGAGAGAGAGAGAGAGCGTTTGATGACATTTAAGATTTAGTCGATTTCTAATGTCATAATATGATACAAGAAAATTAAAAATTCAAATCAAATTAAATTTCAGACAAGGATGATTATTATTATCAGGGGTAGAATTATACCACAGTCGATGATCCTGCTGAGTATTCTCAGTCTCGCTCGCTGTATTACACCTCTGGTAATCTTTATACGAAAATTACAGCTGACTTGATTTGCACAGCAGGTCTTAATGAATCCAGAGAGCGCTAAATAAAGTTCAGTGAAGGGTGGTACTTAAGCTCTGGAAAGAAAGAGATGAATGAGTCCGTCTGTGTTGTTTGTGCTCGAGCTCACCTGAGGGTCGAGCCTCGATAACGTATCCGGTGATGGGCGCCGCGCCGATGTCTCCCTCTGACCAGTGGATGTTTAGATCAGAGGACGTCTTTGTGATGGACATTTCCACAGGAGACCCAGGAGTGCCTGTGACGTCACACGCACACACACACACATGAGTCGACTCCCCACATTGTGACTTTGACACTTTCCTGCACATGGTTAAAACAAGTGGAGACGTTACACACATACACAAAGTTCTGGTCCTGTTTACCTTGCACAGGCTGAGCAGTGATGTTTGCCTGGATGGGGGGTCCGTGGCTGACAGTGAGCGCCTGAACGCTGAACGTGTACGTTGCTCCTTTGACCAGGTCACGAACCTTCAGCCATCGCTGCCAGCTGCCTTTCACATCGACCGTCACAACTTTACTCACCCCTGCTCACAGACACACAAGTTCAAAGAAATGTCAGTCTCCTCCCATCGTGAGTTTCCGTGTGTGTGTGTGTGTGTGTGTGTGTGTGTGTGTACCTTGTACAGGAGCTGTGGGCTGGTAGACGACCCTGTAGCCCTCCAGCTGTCCATTAGGAGTGAGAGGAGCTCCCCAGGACGCGTTGACACTTCCTCCCGTCACCTCGGAGAAGGACAGGTAGCTGGGCTGGCTGGGAGCTGCGGACATGTGGAGAATGTGCAATGAAATAAGAGGGAAGACGGATACAGAAAGAAGAAACATCGGATCATGTGGTTAGTTTGGTTTGAGGGAACAGGTCTATCGCCACTCCCTACCAGACTGCAGGGTCCGAGCCCCGCGGGGGTCACTGGGCGGTCCGTCTCCAGCCGTGTTGAAGGCCGTCAGGGTGACCATGTACGGAGTGTAGCTGGTCAGGTTGGTGAGATGCACACGTGTGTCTGGGACAAAAATCACCTTCACCTTCTCGCTCTGGTTCTGCTTGTCCCTCTCCCAGTAGTGGATCTACAACACAGGGACACAAACACAAGACAAAGTTGGTTGTAGCGAGATTAGTTGAGGAGATGACACCTTAACACAAGCGTTAAGTAGATGAACAGATGCCACTGCTTTGCCTTTTTGTCTGTTTTATGCGAGAGTGTTCTTAGAAGTTTTGATAAGAACAAAAAGCACCTGATTATTAAACCCAGTCCGATGAGATCAGTATCAAGAGCTCATCTCGTGTCACTTTTGAATTTTACAATTTAATGAAGACGAACTGTGTCGTTTCCCTATAAAATATAAATCACTGGTTACACTGCACATAGCTGATTTTAGAAATGTGCTTCGTGACTGACTTTGGGAAAATTAAACCTTTTGGAAAATCCTGAATGTTTGACTTCTACATTGTGTCAGGGTCACATACTTTTAATGGAACAGGCTATAAATAATGAGAGAAAACAGATGAGCAATATACTTGATATCTCACAGCCAGTAAACAGCCTATATAAATGCATATCCAGCAACAAAACCTGTGTGGGGCATTGAAACAGCTTGTCGCCTGCTCATAATGGTATTTTATACATGACCCTATACAAATCACTACACTTTTATTTTTAAAGTTTCCATTTCAAACATTTAACAAAACCCTTGCTATTAATGACACCGGTGGCCGTGAAGTGAACTGCAGTCATCACCCTGTTGCTCCTGGTCGTGTGTTTTATGGACGAGCAGGTTCTCTGATCTTCTCTGATCTCTGAATAAAGTCGCCTCAGGCTCTGCAGACACACTCCACGTTCATTGAGATATTTGGTGCGAAAGAGAGAAAGAGAGAGAGAGAGAGAGATAGAGAGAGAGCGCTGAACTTGTAATTAGAGCTCACGGCGGAAGATTCAAGCGGTTGTAGTTGTTGATCTGTGTTTGTGCTGTGAGAAAAGTCCACAGGCTGTTAAAGGATACTGACAAAGTCAAGGAAGGTTTAATTTTTTAAGTTGCATTACAATCTTTCTCCAATAAAATAAATAATACCAGCTAATATGTGTAAATTGCTTCAACATCTTACTTAGAGAAATATTTCTATCAACATGAACTATTCATGTTTTAAAGACCGGCATAGAAACCAGGATGGTCTGACACGAGAACCGTCTCGACTCCTCGCGCATAAACCAAGCGGCCGTATCTGATGCTCACGAACAGGAAGGTTACAGAGGTGGTCGAGCCTCATGCATTAGAAATGACTCAGGAAAAGTGTCTTGTAAAAAACCCTGATAATCCATGAGAGGGAGAGAAAAGTCACAGCAGCTGTTACGTGACTTCCTCTCATTGTGGTTCATTCATCTGAAGCTTAAATGTTTAACCAACTCAAAGAAATAAATGTTTCAGAGCCTGTGTAAGTGAAGCACATGGACGTGCCCCCCCCCCCCGATCAAACAACGCGTGGTCGTCAGCTCATTAACACGAGAATCAGATCAGGAAACTGTGAACATGTTGTTTGCTGGCAGCTCTCAGTGAAACTGACTCTGATATGACACGACTGATTTCATGTACTGCGTCAGCTTCTCACCAGCCAACGACAACACGCTACGTTATCACATCAAAACGTAGTTCTTACAGTTAACGTGTGCTCCGTGAAGTATTATTACCTCCACACCTCACCCCCGTCTGTTTCTTTGTTCGTCGGCAGGATTACACAAAAACTACCCAAAACTGATTTTCACAGAACTAGTTGGGAAAGTTAGGAACAAAACCCCCAAATCTTGAAATCCAGACAAAAGGGGCGGAGCCTGGACATTTTAACCACCTTCTTTAACAGAGCGAGGTAGTTCGTGTTTTTTTTACTGATTTCTCGAAGAATAATTTGTGTATTTTGATTAAAAAAAAAAATTCAATATAACAGTTCTTTTTATTCCTGGAACATAAACTTCTCCTGTGCAGTTTGGGATGTAAAGTAAAACAACGGCCAAGAGCCACTTAAAGGCTCCATTTTGTTATTATTCCCAACAGAAAGCTCTACAATGCATCATAAGTTATATTTACCACTTCCAAACCTGGAAGCAGCAGCTCACGAGTAGCACTTGAGGGCAGCATAAAACCATCTCTCTCCCTCTGCGAGCCGTTGCGTTAATGAGATGCAGAATAACTCCGGATTACTAAAATTGCGGTACCTTCTGGATAAGAGGGGAAATTCAATTTACAATACTTTATTTCAGGAAATGGGAAATATCTCTTGCGATACTTCGGGTGATTTTGTAATCCGCTCGGCTGTTTTGGATCTATTTCTGTGTTTGTTCAGAGAGTGAGACCTTCGAGATGAGTCTGAAAAACTCCACCATGAATGAACATGAAACAGATTTTTCGAATATCTCTTCAGTTGAGGAGTTGATTAAGGATTTTACATGAAAAACGGCAGCAGGATGTTTGTTTCACTCAGGAGGAAACATTTAATCTTTTTGTTTGTGTCTACTGCACTTCCTTTTTAAATACCTGACCCATAGTCTAACCACCAAAAGCAGATTAAATCCTACACAACAAGGAAAATGTGGATGATTTCATGGTGAAGAATAAATCAGAACAACTGTTTTCTGACAAAGGTTTTTTTTTCATACCGTGCAACATTTTACATACACACCTCCTGACAGGCCCTGCATAGTTTGGTGATACCTGTTACCCCTCACCCATCATGTTCACTGTGTTTAACAAGCCCTCTAGGGCATTTCAGGAAACCTCGGCTGTGGAAAAATACTCTGCGGTGAAGTTTAGCGCTAGTCCTACCTGCTGTGTGCTGCTCCTCTCACAGAGTAGGTGTGTTAACAGACGTCTGAACCTATAAATTCGTTGAACCTTCTTTCTTTGCTCTTTTTCTCTTGTCTTAATCTCCTTAACCCCCTCCGCCTCACAACCCCTCCCAGTGTCCATCCATCTCTGGTAGTTTAAACATATTCGCTGAATCCTCGTCTCTAATCAGGATTCTACAGGGATCACTCGCTCGTCTCGTTCCTTCACTCTGCAAATATTACATTCCCGCCTTTCTTCTCCATTCCTCCCTCTACTCCAGCAGAAATCAATGTGTCTAAAGCAGGACAGATAACCTTGTGTTTGAAGTGCTAAGAGCGAGAGGGTGGGACAGGAGAGTTAAGAGGGGGGGGCTGAGGAGTGATATTGAAACCATTAAAGGATATTCAGATTCTTCCTCTAACTTGATTCTCTCTTTTTCTCTCGTCTCTATGGGGCAATTGAAG